ATGTTTGCGTTAATTACCAGCTCACTGACTTGGTGCCCATTACGGTGAAGGATACATCCTTACTCCTCAGCCTCAGTCGCTTGCCGGCCGTGTTCATCTGCCGATCAATCGTCTCGCGCCCGGCCGCAGTGCTATCATGGGGTAGCTTCTGAACACCAACTTGATCGGTTGAAGCTGACGACGCAACGGCCGCACATGGAGAAATAAAAAAGGGCTTGCAATGTGGCGTGGCGATCAGATTCCGACCGTGGAAAAAAGGCATCGATCCGCGCGCAACAACCGTCGGGGCTCTGCTCGCCGCACCCTTCTACCGTTTTCATTTTCATAATTATTTATGGAAACGGGGCCGGGAGCTGGAGAACCGGGAGCAAAAACGGGAGTGGGGTAAACGGTAATGCGAAAACGGATAAATACGATCGAAAAATAGGCGGAAACAAACGGTATGCGGGAACTTCAGCCGGAACTACATGTCACGTATGACAAACCAAAGGCATTGCTACAGTACTCTCAAATAAATGTGAACCATTGATTTAGATGATTTTTATCGCATATTAGCAAAATAGGTAAAACATCTTCCAATTAGATCTAATTTCCATATCCTATTAGATCTAACTTGCATGTATGATGTAAATTGTTCCTATGTTTGTGATAAAGTGACATATCATGCTAAGATGATTTTAAACATTTTTTGTAACATTTTTTTAGATTTTGCGTGTACGTCACTTGCTAAAATACACGTGTATATCCATGCTTAATCTTTTTGTGCTTAACCCTTTTATGGTAGGCAGCTTTCAGGCATACCACAAAGAAAAAAGAGACATTTCACACATGTTTTTGCGTAACATATATATATATATATATATATATATATATACACACACGAGACTCTTTTTTTATTAAATACATATATGTACGAGTTGCGAGTAACGTTATGTTCTACATGCAGCCGAACAGCACAGAAGCAAGTTTGGCTGGCCGCCCGCTCAAAGCACAGCTCGCCTCAACGCCCTCTGCGCTTGTCCCGGTGAACATATAAACGGGATGAAAACGAAAAGGGTAAAGTACACTTTCCAACTTTCAACTTGCACTGAAGTTCGATTTTCAACCTTTAACTACGAAACTGGGTAACAAACACCCTCCAACTATCAAAACCAGATAAATTTGGTCATCGGCTGGTTTCAAAAGCGGTTTTCTATTTTCGAGAGGCGCCGAAATTTTATATTATTTTTTTGAGCCTCTTAACGTCCTCAAATGAAAAAACTCAAAACTACAAAGTTGTAGATCTCATTAAGAGCTACAACTTTGGTATAAAAAGTATCTTCGTTTGACTCCATACAAAAAAATATATTATTTTTCTAATCGGCATACTTTATATAAATATTATGATGCTGAAATTTTATTTATTTTTCTCAACGCGTCCTCAAAAAAAACTTTCGAAAAACCATAACTCTTCAATACGACGTCGGATGAAAATGATTTTTATATAAAAATTGTAGATCTCGATGATATCTACAACTTTCTAGTTTTAAGTTTTTTAATTTGAGGACGTTAACTTTCTCAAAAAATAATATAAAATTTCAGCATCATAATAGCGATTGCCGCATTAGAAAAATAATATAATTTTTATATGGAGCCAAACGAAGATACTTTTTATACTAAAGTTGTAGCTCTCAATGACATCTACAACTTTGTAGTTTTAAGTTTTTTCATTTGAGGACATTAAGAGGCTCAAAAAAATAATATAAAATATCGACGCCTCCCGAAAATGAAAAACCGCTTTTGAAACCAGCCGAGAACCAAATTTGTCCGGTTTTGATAGTTGAAGGGTGTTTGTTACCCGGTTTCATAGTTGAAGGTTGAAAATAGAACTTCGGTGCAAGTTAGAGGTTGGAAAGTGTACTTTACCCAAACGGAAATATCCCGGTAAAAAATGGGATACCGGCAATACGGACAGAAAAACGGTCAACCATTTTCGGTCCTGGTCCCGGTGTACTCGGTCCCGTTTCCGTTTATCCCGAAAAAACAAAAACGGATGAGAAAATACGGTATACGGTTGCGGACGGAACGGGATTCATCCCGTCCGTTTTCATCTTTGGTTCCTGGTGCCGTGGTGCGGCGGCGATGTAGGAGTAAGCGATACAGCCGCCGCTCGAGTGCTCGACCTGTACCACCGACAACGACGACGCAACGAGTAGGAGTAGCCCCTTCCTCGCACGTCGGTCGTCACTGCTGTGTGTTCCCTTCAGCTAGGCTAGCGTTTAGCGTCGGGCGCCCGGTGGCATCTGTCCTGCATGCATGCTTCGTTTCGGTCGAGTTTGACAGCAGGTTGTGCTGCTGGGGGGCGCCAGTGCCGAAAGGAAGTTGCGCTCCGCATGGACCTCCACGGCTTTGCCTGCCCCGGGGCCCGGCGGCCGTCCGTCGATCTGCCAGGATACGTCTCTAGGGTCGAATCACGACGGCGCGACGCCGATGTTTGCCTGCTTTGTGAACCTGTGGGTGTGGCCGTGACGCGCTGCAAAACCGTATGACTTCGCCTTTTCTTCGAGCGGTTTTTGCGGGTGCAGTGTTGTCATTGTCCGCTTGGCTCTGCATGCATAAATACGGGTTCTTTTTTAAAAGTTTTATTAGGAAACAGTCCTGGTATTAGCAGTCACAAAGACCAAAAGTCTATAGCATGCAGAGGTGCTTAAGAGCATCTCCAAAAATATTTCTTAAACTCACTTCCTACATCATCCATTTAGAGAAAAAATTGGTATCCGTATTACTCCACGACCAAACTTCTATATATCTTGTGCGTATTCGAGATATCTAACCTTACTATCTTTGGCTAGTGAAAAAATTAGAATAGAGGATGACAATATTTAGAGATCTAGTTAAAGTAGTCATTGGAAGATATTTTTTTTATGGAGTGTCTAGTTATCTTTCGACATATTTTATGTGGTTAAATCTGTCAGATTTTTTAAAATACCACCCAGTAGTGATAATTGTAACACAAATCCTAAAGCACAATCAAACGTATAGAAATCTGACAAATTTAGTGCAGAAATATATGTCAATAGATAAATAGCAAAAGTCTATTTTTATCAAATTTTTATTCCTAACCGCAATGTAGGATAACAATTTTTTTTTCTAATGCATTCGGAAAAACTCAAGTGAGACTCTCCTTCCCAGAAAACTCAAATCGAAACCCACTAACAGGTTTACGCCCCTTCAAACCTCAACTAAGAAAAGCTAACCCATTTTCCCCTCCTGATATGCTTTTCATGGAAGAGAACTCCGCCAACAGACTTTTCAGTTAGACAGAAAAACTTCTCTCGCTTGCTTTCCACTTGATTCAACGAGTACGGGTTGTCACTAAGGATGGCCGCCACCAGCCTCTGAATAATTCCTTTGTCATTTTGGTACTACTTTTCACGACACCTTTGATACCAATGATCAAGACTCGGATCGTCACCATAGAAATAAACCTCAAGATGTCTTATCTCCTTACCATCTTCTCTCCCAAATAACCTTATGTTGTGATAGATCTGACCGTGTGCATGGAAAGTGTATATGCCACTATTTTTCATACTTACAGTAGCGCTATCGAGGTGGCAGTATAAAGAAGTGAAAGAGAAATGACCACTGGAAAACCTAATCTTGTTACGAAAGTACTTGGCATCCGCATCGGCACTTGATCAAAGCCTTATCCTCTCCGTCAGGTATGTCTAGTGGATTAAGCTCGACCTTTTCACTGCGGCAACAGAACCCAAGTGGTTCATACTAAAACTTCTTCACACCACAGTGAGGACAATCTGAGTGTTCAGCTTTCCAGTTGTGTATCGAATTTAAGTTTTTTTCCTCAAATACACAAAAGATCTGTGCATCATTTCTTTTAAGATAGAAGGTGTTTGAAGTTATAACGAAGGGGGTTGGGATCGACCAAGCCACCCTAGTGTACTCTAAACTTAAAACATAATTGTCACTATAAAAGATTGCATATCTTTACACAGAGCTCTTCTAAATGAAAGCATTAAATATGAGTTACGTGCCGATATACCCAGCCTTTATATGTTGGACTAGCAAGTAGCTACTAGTTATAGTCAGCGGCCCCCATGAATTTTTAGACAAAGTTCTATTGTGTAGGTGGGGCTAAAACTTAAGATCGAGCAGCAGTCGGAGGTATGTTGTTGTCGCACTTTTGTTCAGCCTCACCTAAATTTTTTTTTCTGGATCCGCCGCTGGTTAGTAATACTCCACTAGAGTAGTATATGGATCTCACCTGTCTTTTGCGTATGAGATGAAGGAATCCCTGATCTAAGCGGTTGCCTGCCATGCCCGATTCGTCCCGGACAACAAGAGATGCAACACAGTCACAGTTCCCAGATGACGTACATTGCCAAGCAGGTGGAGCTCTACCACCTGCTTTCCTCGGTTTTCTCCGGGTGGATGGTTGGGCTGGCGCCTACGCCAGCACGCGTTAAACTCGGCAAAGCTGGCGGCAAATTAGCTGGCGCCCGCTGAAACAACAGTTCGTCTAGGGCTGGGCCAGAAATGCCCAACGTCCTAACATCTGGTACGCGAGATATTTTGTTCGATCCTACATTCCTACTCCTAGAGGAATTCAAGTTTTCACCGTTTCACGTGGATTCGTAAAAATTTAGATGTTGTCTTCTTCTTTTCTAGCGTGCGTATTTGATATAAATGTAACCAACTAATTTCTATTATTATATACTTAATATAAATGTAATGGTACTACTTAATTTCGTCGAATCACCTCCTCAAATCAAAACAAAAACTGGCTCACGATGGAACATGGAGAGTCCTAGGAGAAGACAACTCCGTTGGCGCTGAACTGTCACGCCGGGTTTCTACAGGCCCCAGGCGGCGGTCCTGCCAGTTGGATTCGCTTTGAGAGTTGGAGCCTATATAAAGCAGCCAACCCCCGTCCCGCGGCCGCTTGCCCAGATCCATCTCTCTCTTTCCCTGGCACTCGTCACGGACGCACGGGAGACGGGAGGATGTACAAGAGCGGGGCGGCGGCAGCAGACGACGTCGAGCTGGGCGACTACGAGCAGGAGCACGAGCGGAGAGGTGCGTGCCCTGTCCTGCGTACTGTCATGTTATCCCCATGTTTCGGGAGATCCTATTCCTTCGATTAATTCTCGCGCGGATTTGTTGAACCCCCTTCTGTCGGTTCCTGGTTCGTTCCAGGGACGGTATGGACGGCGACGGCGCACATTGTGACGGCGGTGATCGGCTCCGGCGTGCTGGCGCTGGCCTGGAGCGTGGCGCAGCTGGGCTGGGTCGCGGGGCCCCTCGCGCTCGCCGGCTTCGCGTGCGTCACCTACTACACCTCCACGCTGCTCGCCAACGCCTACCGCGCGCCACACCCCGTCACCGGCGACAGGAACCGCACCTACATGGACGCCGTCAGATCCTACCTCAGTACGCGCCGCGCACCCCGTCATCTCTCGACGTCCGTCTCCTTTAACTGAACGCAGTGCCTAAACATGCATCGCAGGTCCCAGAGAGGTGCTCATGTGCGGGATCGCGCAGTACGTCAACCTGTGGGGCACCATGGTTGGCTACACCATCACTGCAACCATAAGCATGGCGTGAGTAACCAAATCCTATTTTCCTCCGAATCTCCGTGCAAGCGTCAGGGATGTGCTAATTTTTGTTTCCCTTTTCTGCCGACCCTTTTTATGCGCTGCGCAGCGCGATCAGGCAGTCCGACTGCTTCCGCCGGAACGGCGCCAGCGCGCACTGCGACGCATCAGGGACCGTGCTGATGCTGGCGTTCAGCGTAGTCCAGGTGGTGCTGTCCCAGTTCCCTGGCCTGGAGCACATCACCTGGCTGTCCGTCGTCGCGGCTGTCATGTCGTTCGCCTACTGCTTCATCGGCCTCGGGCTCTCGGTGGGGCAGTGGGTGTCTCACGGCGGCGGTCTCGGGGGCAGGATCGCAGGTGCTGCCGCGGCGTCCTCCACCAAGAAGCTCTGGAACGTGCTCCTTGCCCTGGGGAACATTGCCTTTGCTTACACCTTTGCGGAAGTACTAATTGAGATCCAGGTATGCATGATTTTGCAGTAACTTCAAGTGGAAAATATGTTCAGATATTTGGCCAGGTAACAACGTCCTTGTCAGTAAAGTGCCTTTCTGATCTGTTCTGATTTTCCCTAGGATACACTCAAGTCACCACCACCGGAAAACAAGACGATGAAGAAGGCAGCAATGTATGGGATTGGAGCTACCACCATCTTCTACATCTCTGTTGGCTGCGCTGGGTATGCTGCATTTGGTTCAAATGCCCCAGGCAACATCCTGACGGCAGGCGGGTTGGGTCCCTTCTGGCTCGTAGACATTGCTAACATGTGCCTCATCCTCCACCTGATTGGTGCATACCAGGTCAGCAGCACATCTCAGTTGATGTACACTTCACTAGAAGAATTTCAGTTGCCACATTCAGAGCTGAATTCTGTAGCTTAAGCTAAACGTAATATCTCAATGCAGGTATATGCTCAACCTATCTTTGCTTCAGTTGAGAGGTGGGCTGCCTTCCGGTGGCCGGAAGCCAAGTTCATCAACAGCGCATACACCGTCAGCATCCCCCTCATGCAGAGAGGATCGGTGACCGTTGCACCGTACAAGCTCGTCCTACGGATTGTTATAGTTACCGCTACGACTCTGGTGGCACTGATGATACCATTCTTCAACGCTGTGCTGGGGCTCCTCGGTGCGTTCAGCTTCTGGCCGCTGACGGTTTACTTCCCCATAAGCATGCACATTGCCCAGGGCAAGATCACAAAGGGGACGAAGTGGTATCTTCTGCAGGCTTTGAGCATGGTTTGTTTGATGATTTCAGTGGCCGTGGGTATAGGCTCTGTGACTGACATTGTCAATAGCTTGAAGGTCTCTTCCAACCCTTTCAAACTGTAAGCTAAAGGTTATTGTAGTCATGTACAATATATGTAAAATCTTCTCTAAGTCGAAGAAGAATGTTGTCATGCTCTGAGCTGATTGTGTGCTCTCTGTTTACTCACACATATCAGTAGTGCAAATCGGCTGTAAGGACCCCTTAGGCTGTTCATATACTCTGAATAAATTGGAAAGGATGGCTAAAATGAAGCACAAGGAGGACTGGAAGTCCGAATTTCATCAGAGAGTATTGAATAATTAGTAAGCGTCATTTGTCTGTCAGGCTGTCACCATGTCCTGTTCCTTTCTGATTAAAATCGACCCTATGGATGTCTTGCCCTCATTCTGTCATTCACAAACAATTGCTAGCAATGCACTAATCATACTGATGCACATGACATATCTACAGAAACTTTCGGAGTACAATACTAATTTGTACAGAATCTAATAAAGCTTTTACATATAGACAAGCATTGCAGAGGCTATACCTCCACATTATTTTACCAGCCTGCTAGTCAGGCATTCTGACGGCCTAATAAGCTTCCCCCATGATCTGCTACAGGGTGCTTAGAGGCCCTGATATTGTGATTATTACTAGTATATATATCTTAATTGAAGACAAAGCCTGTCGCTGTTACTTGTCATTCTTGTTCTTTGCCCTCCTAGCTGTGGAGCTAGGATCAATGTCGATGAGCATTTTCACGACTTCTCTCATTGTCGGTCGTTCAGATGGAAGCTGAGTGGTACAAAGAATAGCAATATTCAACGCCTTTATCATGTAATCTGATGCATCATTGCTTACTTTTGGATCAAGAACAGCTGCAGGGTTTTGCTCGGCCAAATGAAATGAAACCCAGGAGACAATGTCCCTTTCACCGTCAAACTGTTGATCAGTTGGGCTACGTCCAGTAAGCAACTCTAGCAGTACGACACCAAAGCTGTAAACATCGCTCTTCTTAGTCGCCTTTAGAGAATACGCAAGCTCTGCATATCGATTTAAGATGGCATGAGACTGATATCTTCAGACTAATATCGTTAAGTTGCATGCATCTGATAGTTCTATACTTTGTTTTAGGAATAAATTGTAGTTATTGCAAGAATTGTATGGAATACATTACTTATGAAATGGATATATTATTAATAACTGCACCAAAATCAGTAAGGAATTTCAGAAGAACAACTAAGAGCCTCACAGCCATTTTTATTTTACAAACAGCAATTAAAGTACCCAGCAATTTGTGCATCATTCCATTTGATTGGATTATTACCAAGACAAATCAAAATGGATTCTAGAGTACTTGAGTTACACTGACAAAATATTTTCTACAGTAATCGTGCAGAGCAATGTTCAGTGACCACAACTATGGAAAAATAGAAACATGCAGGAGACTTTCTTTGAAAACCTTACCAGGAGCCATGTAGCCATGTGTACCAGCAAAGCAGCTAAGCGTCGAACCTTCCGCCAATTTAGCAATACCGAAATCTGCAAGCTTAGCTTCATACTTCTCGTCCAGCAGAATATTGGTCGACTTTATGTCCTGATGAATTATGGCCGGGGAGCAATCATGGTGAAGGTACATGATGCCCTTTGCAACCCCAACAGCAATCCCGCACCTCTTGTCCCAGTCAAGCTCCAGCTGCCCAGCTTTGAACTCACGGCGAATAGCGTCATACAGATTGCCATTCACCACATATTCATAGACCAGAAAGTTTGATGCTCCAGTCAAAAATGCATTGAGTTTCAAAATGTTCCGATGGCGTATCTTCCCAAGGGTATTTATCTCAGCCTTCAAGACCTTTGCATCATCACGCTTCCACAACTCCTTCACAGCCACAGTTCCCCTTCCCTTGCTCAATTCTAGCCTGTAAACTTTGCCGGTGCCCCCACAGCCAATCAAATTCTCTGCATCCAAGTTGCATATCTCCTCAGGGTCAAGTTCTAGGGGTTGGAAGGTCTCAAGAACCCACTTCAAATCAGTGTCACTGCCACTCTCAATATCCCCTTTTCTGTTGAACTCTTCTAGCTTATAATTTTCATAGCTCAGATATGCCAACCCAAACAGGAGAACAACTAAAGATATCACAGTTACCAGAACAAGAAGAAGCCGTCTCCTTGACAAGTTGTCACGGTTATCGAACCACTGACAAGGTTTTAGATTAGTGATACTTTGTTTCCAGCCTTCTGAAGTGTCTGCAACACAAAGGCCAGCATTTTCAGAGAATGTATAATCTCCAGCTATCATCAAGAGTTGGGGAGGGACTGGGCCAGACAACTCATTGTGGGAGAAATCAATATCACTCAGCTTCAGTGACTGCAAACCTTCAGGAATGACACCAGAGATCATGTTATGGGATATATTGAGTGAATCCAGAGTGACAAGGGAGACCAGTGTGTCCGGAATGTCTCCAGTCAAAGAATTCTCTGCAAGATTCAGGTCGACCATGCTGCTGCACATACCAATATCTGGCGGTATTGGCCCTTCCAGTGCATTATGTTCCAAATGCAGGTAAGTCAGCTGCTTGAGACTTCCAATCTGTTTAGGTATTTGGCCAGATAGTCTGTTGTCGGAAGCAACCAACTTCTGAAGCAGGGTGAGCCTCCCCAGCTCTACTGGAAGCTCCCCAATGAAGTTGTTGTTCTGAACATACAGCTGGTTCAGAGTAACCGAAAAGCCTATATCAGAAGATATGCCCCCGATAAATCCATTATCAGCCACATCAATTATCACAGCATTAGGCAACTCCCACAAGCCAGCAGGAATACTCCCACTGAATTGATTTTGACTTATTCTGAACCTCTGAAGTGTCTTGCAGGAAGAGTAAGAGCCGGGGAATTCACCTGAAAAGTTGTTGGTCAAAGCCAGTAAGAACTGAAGCTTGTTGTTTTGGCACAAGAATCTTGGAAATTCGCCAGAAAAGTAATTCTCTGATATGTCAATTGAGTTGAGTGGCGAGAACCGGCCCATGTTGGCAGGGAACTTCCCTGAGAACTGATTTTCATAGGTTGAGAATGACTCAAGAAACTGCAAGCTCCCCAGCCCTTCAGGAAGTTCACCAAAGAAGTTGTTGTGGTATATATGGAATATCCTCAGCTTCTTCAGGCCCCCAATCTCCTTAGGCAGCATGCCAGTCAGCTGATTCCGAGAAACATCAAATTCAGATAACAAGGTTAGAGTTGCAAGCTCTTGAGGAATTTCACCAGTCAAGTTGTTTCGGTAGAGCTCAATCTTCCATAGGTTCCTCAGTTTTGATATTGCCTTCGGGAATACACCAGTAATTTGATTGCGTGAGAAGTCCAATGTCCCGAGTGATACCAAATCAAAGACTGAAGCTGGTATCTCTCCCCTAAGATTGCATTGTCCCAGGAATAGCCATGTTAAGTTCTTCAGTTCTCCAATGCTTTCCGGAACATCACCTTCATCGAAGCTGTTCTCTCCTAGGCCTAATTCAGTTAGGCCCGATAATTTGCTGGCCCATATTGGGAATGCCCCATTAAAACTATTGGTCGACAAGTCAAGAACTTGTAGGTTGACCAATGCTGAAAGATCAGGCAATTGGCCTGTTAGACTGTTCATTGACAAATTAAGAACCTGCAGATTTGTGCAGTTGGCGAGCGCATCAGGAACTATTCCTGAGATGGAGTTTGCCCCAAGCTCCAGAGTGCGCAATTGTTCAAGAAGAGAAAATGAAGATGATATAGTGCCTGATAGTGAGATATTTGAGAGTGATATCCCAATGACATCACCAGAATTGTGGTCACATGTAACACCGTAAAATTGGCACGGTGAATGGGATTCATCCCAGTTGTGTAGGTAATTCTGTGGATCTTTCAGATAGCCTTTAATGTCCAAAAGTTTATCTCTATCCAGAGGTAGGGATTTTGAGATTCCGAAATTGCAGAGTACAAGAATTAACCAGAAATATATTTTAAAATATGAGGTGGACATTACACTCTCAGCACCGTTTACCTGAAAATAAGAGATCCTGACATAAGTGCACTGGAATACTGGATTTGATGACAGTAATAATTACCTTGATATTTTACAAAAGTACACAGTGTTTAACGTTGAAGAAACAAATGAAAATGATCTGCAGTTCACTTGTACCGGGGTGGTCATTGAAAGGAATTGAAGGAAATTGAAGTGTGAAAAGATCAAAAAGATTCATTCTATTGAAAGCGAACCACTCAATGATCATGGGATTTACGTTCACGTTCAATGATCATGGGGACCAGGTAATAAAAACATAATCAATTAGATATTCTTTTCATCTAAACTACCTGCTTCCCTCGTCACTAATTTGTGACGATGATTTCTGATATACTCTACTTTCGAATAGAACTAAGTTGTACACTGATTCTTCCTTTTAATAAAGAGTTACTTGAGACAATCAAATTCCTTGCTAACCATCAGAGACTCATGCAGTAACTAGTCAGATATTTTAGCAGATACTGTGATATACACGTCACCTTTCTCTGCCCCTCAGTTAGAAGTTAGAACATAAGGTTAAGGTCTTGTATATCAGTATGTGTCCATAGTTCATATCAGCAATTAACTCATCCAGCAAGGGGATGACTGACTGATCATATTCAGGATCAACGCAAACGTACTTATCAGGCAGTCTCTAGCATGCAAAGCCGCTGTCTAGTGGAACTTTTTGTAGCTCATGAGGATGATGTGCAAGTTCTGCACTTTCAATACAAGTTTATCTCTGTGGACCACCCGTCCACATACAATGAACCGGTAAAAGTTGTGAAATTACAGTCCACTATACGAACTGCAGGTGGTTATGCTGTATTGACTTTTAACACTTTTGTCATTCATCCAGTTAAAATGGCTAGTCCTGGCTCTGTCGAGTACCGAGGAACACCAACATATCAGTGTCATGAACCATAGAATGAAACATTGAGCCTCCATTTCCTACCGCAGACAAACTCAAAATCACAGCCTAGTAGCCTACGCACCATGTGACTTATTACGTCCCCCAATATGTATAATTTTTTTTTAACTTGTGAAATCAGT